CCGTATTGAAGCATTGCTTTGTTTCCTGTGCGTGCAGAGATGCTCCAGGCACATCATATATGTATTCCGTATTGAAGCATTGCTTTGTTTCCTGTGCGTGCAGAGATGCTCCAGGCACATCATATATGTATTCCGTATTGAAGCATTGCTTTGTTTCCTGTGCGTGCAGAGATGCTCCAGGCACATCATATATGTATTCCGTATTGAAGCATTGCTTTGTTTCCTGTGCGTGCAGAGATGCTCCAGGCACATCATATATGTATTCCGTATTGAAGCATTGCTCTGTTTCCTGTGCGTGCAGAGATGCTCCAGGCACATCATATATGTATTCCGTATTGAAGCATTGCTTTGTTTCCTGTGCGTGCAGAGATGCTCCAGGCACATCATATATGTATTCCGTATTGAAGCATTGCTTTGTTTCCTGTGCGTGCAGAGATGCTCCAGGCACATCATATATGTATTCCGTATTGAAGCATTGCTTTGTTTCCTGTGCGTGCAGAGATGCTCCAGGCACATCATATATGTATTCCGTATTGAAGCATTGCTTTGTTTCCTGTGCGTGCAGAGATGCTCCAGGCACATCATATATGTATTCCGTATTGAAGCATTGCTTTGTTTCCTGTGCGTGCAGAGATGCTCCAGGCACATCATATATGTATTCCGTATTGAAGCATTGCTTTGTTTCCTGTGCGTGCAGAGATGCTCCAGGCACATCATATATGTATTCCGTATTGAAGCATTGCTTTGTTTCCTGTGCGTGCAGAGATGCTCCAGGCACATCATATATGTATTCCGTATTGAAGCATTGCTTTGTTTCCTGTGCGTGCAGAGATGCTCCAGGCACATCATATATGTATTCCGTATTGAAGCATTGCTTTGTTTCCTGTGCGTGCAGAGATGCTCCAGGCACATCATATATGTATTCCGTATTGAAGCATTGCTTTGTTTCCTGTGCGTGCAGAGATGCTCCAGGCACATCATATATGTATTCCGTATTGAAGCATTGCTTTGTTTCCTGTGCGTGCAGAGATGCTCCAGGCACATCATATATGTATTCCGTATTTAAGCATTGCTTTGTTTCCTGTGCGTGCGGAGATGCTCCAGGCACATCATATATGTATTCCGTATTGAAGCATTGCTCTGTTTCCTGTGCGTGCGGAGATGCTCCAGGCACATCATATATGTATTTAACATCATATATGTCTATGCTCCACTCTTGCCCATCATTCCTTTAAGGATCCAGGTTGACGCCTGAAAAGGTCCACAGCCCCTGAAATGTGCAAATGTACAACCATGCGTAATAATGCTGTTATGATAATAATGTTATCTGTTTCTTCAGAGCATGCTGAAGGAAGCATCTTTTCTAAAGGATATGTATTTTTGTTTTATTTTATTTTGTTGGTGTGGGGCAATATGTTCTGTAACTGAGGCTCATCCTCAGTCCCCAAAGTATATATCTTTGTTTGAAGCTGTAGGAAGAAGACAGACTCTACTGCCAGTGCCATTGAAACTTTCTTTGCTTTTATTTCTATATGTAATGTCATCAGATACAAGTCCTTAAAAGAATACCTTGGATCTATTCCAAATAAATGGGGAGAATTTGCTCTTTCTTTATGCAGTTCTTTAGTAATGGTCCCAGGGTTCAAAGCTCAGGCTGAAGCTGGAGACCGGCTGAGGGTGGGATAGCCACCCCTGGGCGTTGGCTACTGGATTTACCCTTTAGAGATGATGGTGACCGCCACGGTCTAAATTCACAGCAGTTCTCCTACGAGGCTGTTTCCTCCAGACACTTGTTTACCTTTGTATTAGCAAAAGAATTCTGCCCAATACCAAGCAGGTTACACTGGACAGTAATTAAAGTATCTGTCTTGTGGAAAATTTAACTCTGATTTGCTTGGCTGGATATAGATATGTGATCCTCCGGGTGATTAAACCTTTTGGATGGAATGCTGGGCTAGGTGTAAGTAGCTAAACTGATTTTTGTTATAAGCTGCTAACTCAAAGGAGCTGTGAAGCCAAGCATAAACTAAATAATAAACAGATGTGAGTCACCAAATATAGAAAGCCTGGTCCTGACTGCAGTGGGGCACTGTGAGATGATAGGGTATTCACGGAAAGATGCAATTTACGGGTCACAGTGTAATAGTAACCTTTCACTGTAAATTGAAAATTAACCTTGGCATATTAGATCATTTGCAGCTTACGGAGTCATTGTCTTGGATAGGAAGAGGCACTGTGGTCAGGTGCCAGGCTCTCCTCTAGATGGGATTGTTCTCCTAACATCTCCATGTCATCTTTGATACTGTAGTTTGGAGCAAGCTGTTGATGCTCTCAGCTACAGTATTAGATCATTGGGAGATGTTGTTCCTTCTCTTCTGATAACCTGGAGACTTGGAGTATGAGTTTAGATTCCAGCTTTTACTGTGGCGCACCATTGAATATTTTGTGTGCCACCTTAACTAGCAAGTAACAACCAATGCTAAGAGGGTGGGAACATGCTGCTGTTGCTTTGTAGCAAACAGCACCAAGACTGGGCATAGAAAGCCATTTCTTTCTCATAGACACATCTGCAGCCATGCAGGTCCTCACGCAGTGTTCTGACCCATACCGTCCCTGCTCCCAGTAAAGATGACAAGGCTGCAAAGATGGAATGACCTGGTGGCCTTGTCAGAGGCAACCTGAGAAGATAAAGTCTGCTGATTCCTCACAGTACTGGAAAAGCACTGGGAATTCTGTTACTGTGTATGTGGTTTGTCTCTGTGCCTCGCCCTAGAAGTGTACTCTTAAAGTACAGAGGAATTGAGTGCACCACCTCAGATGGGACTGCCCGACCCTCAGTTCTTGGCTGTAGTCAAGGGCTTGGTTTACTCTAGCGTGGTCCTCTGTCACACCTTCTTTTAGTCTATCCTGCTGAGTACACTATGACCTGTCTGTCATAGGCTAGTTATTTTCCCTAGTGCACTGCTTATAACTTGTGGACGTTAGCATAGAGCTACCTGTGTCTGTGTGTTTGTCATGTTAAACAGCTCTCATACGTGTGCAGTTCACTCCTTTAGGAAGTGTCCTGAAAGAGCAGAAGAGCCCAGCAGAGACTGCCAGAAGAGTGCAGTATGGCTGCAGGCCTGCCTGTCTATTTCTGTCAGTCTGCGCAGTACAGGGAGACAAAGCACCCCATCTCCCCTTGGTAGGGGGCACTGGGCACCGCATCCCACATTCTCTTGTACAAACTCTTCTGTCTTAAAGAACACCTGAGTAGTCCTGTCCTAGTGTCCCTGGCATTCATGCATGTGCCTGCTGTGTGCCCTGGGAGATCTCAGCATTAAAGGTAAAGAAACAGTTCTCCATCCCAGACTTTGGAGAAAAAAAATTCTGGAAGTATTCTTCAGTTGGTTTTGTGTGGAATTACCTAGAAATTCTGATTTTAATAATGATTCCAAAGAAAAAAAACCAAATGGCCTCTGTGCCAAATGACCAGGTATTAACCCCCCATGTCTGGTCACCACATGTGCCTCCTGCTGAGGACCCTCCGACTGTGTTGGCTTCGTCTTTACCAGATCCTGAGCAGTAACCTCAGGCATTGTTGTTGTACAAAGAAGCGGATTTTGAGGCCGTCCCCATTACATAAACTCTGGATCCCTGACTGAAAGTTTTACCACGTTCTTTCTAAGGGGATGGACATGGCCAGGACACTAAGAACGTATTCGTAACACCTGGCACAAGAAGAGATTTAAGTATTCTTGAGATTTCTTGAATTCCCAAAGCCCAAGATAAAATCTAGATGTACAAGCAGTGGTAAAACTGAAAACACAGATAATCTCACTCTTCCCCAAAAGAGAATCACGCTCAGCAAGAACTGCATTCCTAGATGCTGGCCAAACTGCACTCGAGCCCCTGAGGGAAGCTGTGCCCTCACTGGGCTGTGCTGGCATCCCTTAAGGGCTGAGAGGGTTAAGTGCTATTTTGTAACAAAGAACTATAAGAATAACTCCTATGTTTGAGCACCTCCATAAGCCAGGAATTCACTTATATTCTTTCAGCCTGAGGACAGTTCACAAATGTCCTTTGCACATTCTAGACGGAGTAAGCCTTGAAAAAAATAAAGAATTGGACACAGAACTGGGTGTCCAGCCATACTTGGTTCAGATCTTGGACTGGGCATCTACTTTGTTATTGTCTCTGTCCTGGCTATCACTAATTGTCCACTTGACACAAACTAAGATCACCCGAAATTGAGTCTCAATTAACCTTTTTATCATACTAATCTGCAGCCTGTCTGTAAGGGATGATTGCCGGAAGGCCCAGCCCACCGTGAGTGGGCCATCCTTAAACAGGTGGTCCTGGGCTGTATTAGAAAGCTGTCGTACTTTAGTCTGGGAGCAAGCTAGAGAGCTGAGCCAGAGAGCTTGTTTCTCCATGATTCCTGCCCTGCTGTCCCTCGGTCACAGGGCCTGAAAGTCAAAGCCAAGTAAACTTCTTCTCCTGAGGCTCCTGTGAGCCAGAGTGTTTTATCCCAGCACCGAAGGAAGGCAGTCTTCTCTACGTGCTGCTGTCAAGTGGGCACCCTGGTGGCTAGTATGAATTTATTGGTCAGGTATCAACTTATCTTTTCTACTGGGAGAAAGGGAAAAAGAGAATGTAAAACTGTTGTCTCCTTAGCAACCTGTAGAACCATAGGTGGTAAATTGGGACAAAGCATAAGACTCAAGTCCCGGATAATGGTTAGGTATTCTTTCTAGGTCTAAAGCTATGTGCTTCAGGAATTCAGTCAATACACATTATAGAATAGTCTTTGTGGTATATAATGGTCTTCTTCTGAACAAAAATTGTCATGTTCACTTGTTAAAGCGCTGTCCAGAAGTATGTGGGAGAGCGTGAAAGTTAGCACGCTTTGTTGCCCTGCATCGGCTATGTCTCAGTGGGCTCTCTGCACACCGGGGTGCTGTGTTTCATCATGTAGTTTTCCCTAACCAGTTCCTCCTCACACACTCTGATCTCCTCAGGTGGCGCTGGTGCGATGGACGGAGAGTGTCGGACTCACTCTGGTCAGCAGGGACCTTGCTTCCATGCAGCTGAAGACCCCCAATGGCCAGGTCTTGAACTACTGCATCCTACAGATGTTCCCCTTCACCTCCGAGAGCAAGCGGATGGGCATCATTGTCAGAGTATGTCGTATCGCCCAGCTGTGCACACACACCAGTTCTTCCCGCCATGGTTTTACAGACCTCCTAAATCAACACAAAACTTCCCCCCAGAACATTTTAAGGTCAAATATTTACTCAAATACTATGTGCTTTATTGTTTGTTTAAAAGAGAGAAGAAAGGAAAAGAAAAAAACCTCAGTATATGAACTGAGAAGCTGGTATGGCTCCCATTGATAAAGTCATTCTCCACTGAAGCAAAACAAGATGAGGGCAGAAGTAATATTTTAATTAAAATTGTTTTGTTTTGTCCTCAACATAAATCATATAACATGCCAAAGAACTTAACTGAATGATATATGATCACAAAGTCATTAATTCATACCTTTATTCTAGTTACCTTAATTAGTACCAGATTGTATTTTGAAATTTCATTTGCTAAATAGTGAAATTCTGTCACACATGAAGCATTAATACTTAGATTGCAGTCCAGATCTGTCTCAAGAATTAAAGTCCAGCATCTCGGCTGTTTCTGACTTTGGCTTTCACTTCACTGGCATGTCAGGACAGTTTCTACCAAGAGAGCCCAGGGCACATTGTCTACGGCCTGCCTCCTCCAGAGCCTCTCCTTTAGGCCAGGGGTTCTTTACAGGGATCACTGCGGCCCGGCTCTCTTCTGAGTCTTTTCTTACCCTGTTACAGGATGAATCCACAGCAGAAATCACATTCTATATGAAAGGGGCTGACGTCGCAATGTCCAGCATTGTCCAGTACAATGATTGGCTAGAAGAGGAGGTAAGCAAGCTATTCTCAGCATTGTACAAAACGTCTTCAGAATATTTAGTAAATCAATGACAGAAGAGAAATGCCTTTTCCACACTTGTACCGTTGGAGTGAATTGTGTCATCACCATTTTAAGCCACCACATGAATAGGTGGCCAGGGATGATATTTTTTTCCACTAAATTTTCTGAATATTTATAGTTCTCCTAGGTCCATATAAACAAAGGCTAAAACCCTGGTTAGTTATAAAATTTTTCTTCCTATAGAAATAATTGCCATTTTTGTTTGGTGTATGAAGTATTCAGATACGTAAAAGTAGGTCTAAAATAGCATTGGATACATAGCCAATGAGACGTGCACATATATATATTTTATAACTATTGTAAGGAGATTTTAATTTGTATTTTAATCTCATGCTAATTTTCTCTCTTATAAGAAAGAACAGAAAATAAGGTACAAACATAAGCAATTCTATATTATTATTCCTAAATATATTTATACTTAGCCTCATGAGGTTCTAATATTTATTGTTAAAGTTGTATATTAATCAGTAATTGGATGTCAAAGTAAAGCTAAGGTTGCTAGGATTATAGCCAGGTCTCTCTCTCCTGTGTATACATTGCTGCAGGTGCCTGTGTCTCTTTTCCACTGTCAGACTGCAGAGATGGTCTGTCAGCACAACAGCCACACCCGATATTCACGATGGTCCTGGCAATATGAATCAATATCTCCTTCAGGGCTCTTTGATTTAATCAGAGACATGAATAAATTAAACTCCCTGAAGACCTAGTAAAATGCCATAAAAATTACTTTTGGTCATAATGACATGCAATTAATTGTAAAATACTTGTTTAATTTATTTAGCTTTATGAGGTCAAATCAATAAATGTCTTGCAACAGACAGATAATGTCAGATTGTTGTTCAGAAAGATAACTTCATTAAAAATCCTATGCACATTTGTTTGTTCAAATTGTATTTTCTTGCCATAGATAAATCTTTTGCCTCTTCACTACCAGTATGTTTGTTGTAGTTCTGATGTAGCCTGAAAGCCTTTCACTGTACCAAGAGCAAAGCAAAAGGTGGTTTAGCAAAGTTCCTGGGCATGTTTATTAATATGCATGTTGATTCGGGTCCCTTAGAGCCTGATTCCGACCTGCAGTCTGGCAAAGCCCCCTTTGTTGGGAGTCACACTGTTCGTTTACAAGCATAGGTGACATTGGTGCCACTGGAGCAGTTTTGATTTTGAAATGAATCACTGGCTACCTTCAAACAAGTGTGCCTAGAACCCCAAATCTTCTTTCTTTACCTTAGCCCCAGCTAGAATTTTTCTACTTTTAGTAGGGGAAAACAGTATTCTATCATAATTATTATGCCCTATAAATAGGATTAGCATCTTATCACACACCTATTGAATTATTTCCATTTCCCATTTATTATATAAATAGGGTGGTGACTCATCATGGCCTCCTCTTTCCTTGTCCAGTTAAGAGCTGAGCCCCAAGCCTGGTGCGTAGGGTGGTGACCCTGTGTGATCGGCCCTGTGCACGTCTGTGGTGCTGTGTTTCTGCCAGACACCAGCATGCCACTTTATTCCAGGGACTAATGTCGTTCCAGAATAGCCTTGTTGGAGCAATTTTATGATGAAACTGAAGCAGGCAGCTCATTGCTTTGCCCAGAAACACAGCTGCTGTGATTTGGGGGCCCAGCCATCTTAGATCCCTGTCATCTCTCTTCCTCACCCCTCAGTGGGGCAGTTATGGTGGGGTTCTCCTGCGGGTGGGACACAGTGATAGAGAACTTGAAGACATCTTCCGCATGTTTTCTCTAACTTTCCTGGGCTTTGCCTGTCCTTTTTCGCTCAGCTTTGCTGTGGTCTGTGGCTCTTGAGGTTGCTATGCTTCCATAGTGGACCTGCAGGGAAGTGAGAACAAGACGCAGCACTGCTGGAGAGTAGTCTTGATGGGCCCCTGAGGCCTGATTGCTGTCAGCTCAGGTACTCCGGGAGCCACAAATAAGAGCTCCTTTTCTTGCAGTGTGGAAACATGGCACGCGAGGGGCTGCGGACCCTTGTGGTGGCGAAGAGGACTCTGACAGAAGAACAGTACCAGGACTTTGAAGTGAGTTACGCAGTTGTTGCCACTCGGTCCTCTTCCTTCTTCTGAGAACGCTGTCATGTCACTGCACTGCAGCTTTCCGGTGCAGTCTGTGTCTCTGAGATTGGGGGCCCTGCAGTGTCCACAAAGGCCGGGAGTTCCATTTCCTCAGCAGAAGCTGAGGGCGCCTCGGAAGTGCTTCAGCTTGAAGCTGTCTGGATTCTAGAATATTTGCCTAGATGGCAGGTTAAGTTATCCAAAGCCCCTAAATCCAAAATGCTCTCCAGAATCAGAAACTATTTTTTAACGTGATGTCATTGCTCAGGTTGTATCTGACTCTTGATTATTTCAGGTTTCCACATTAGGGAAAGTTAGACTAGAGTTAATAAATGTTCATGTAGTAGATACTTGAGTGCTTAAACATAGCATCTATACAGCATATTACTTCTGACCCCAAGAGCGCATTCACTCCACACAGAGAGAGCATTTACACACACGTTTGCCTGTCCCCTGTGCCCTCAAGAGCTGATACAGTACAACTGTGTGAGTCATACACATGAAGTGTGAACATGGTTGTGTACATGTTCCTTCTGTCCTCAGAGCCGATACAGTCAGGCCAAACTGAGCATCCATGACCGGACCCTGAAAGTCGCTGCAGTGGTGGAAAGCCTGGAGAGGGAGATGGAGCTATTGTGCCTCACTGGGGTGGAGGACCAGCTGCAAGCTGATGTGCGGCCCACTCTTGAGATGCTGCGGAATGCAGGGATCAAGGTACAGCCTGCATCCTCTGGCTGCCAAAACTGCTTTCTTACTGAGTCAAACTCACTTTTTCCTTGAAATCCTGTCGTGGGTGCTCTATGGGATGACAGCTTAGCCCTCACCTTAGTCGTCTAGCTCCGGAAGTCTTCACAGTGCCCTCTTCCAGACTTCTCTCTGACGCTTTCTTTTCACACCCAAGACATCATAGCCCTCCTGAAACAGGGCTCCGAACCTATCCCTCCCCATGGCACATGAGGATAGTCTGAGGAGGGCTGCCAGCTTCCCACTTGCCTTGCTGACTGTTTTCTCATCTGTATGCCATCAAAATCCTGCACCATCAGAGAGGAACATAAACCTTCACGGAGTAGTAGCTGCTTAATCCAATAAGCACCTGTGGTCCTGGGTCTGTTCAGGCGTCCATAGCACATTGTACGCAGCACTAGTTAGGGAGAAGTTTAGTGCAGAAGCCCAGCTTCAGGTAGGCTTTAGTTGCACTTGCTGCTCTAGAGCTGGGGTAGACAGAAACCAGTTGTTAGGGAGGGTCATTCACGGGCTATTCTCTGTCCGGCTAGCTATGCTTCTGAAGCGACATGTATCCATTGCCACAGAGGTAGGAGGAGGGGCTGCAGCAACAAGCTGCTCTTGCACTTGGGCCCAGCCCCAGGTAGCCTTCTTGCTGGGACATGCAAAAATGCTGATTCAGGCACAGAAATGCTTTTCTCCCTGCAACGCTAGACATCACACATGAGCTCTTCCCTGGCGCTGGCGCCTTGTGGCCATCACATAACTCTCCGGAGACTGCCTTCTCTCCCAGGACCTCCCCTTGCCCACACAGTGCCCGGCTTCCCAGCTGCTCCATTGGACAAATTGGCAGTTGGAACACAGTGTTTGCAGGAATCCAGCTGACATTTCTGTCATCAGTTGACAGGGTCAGTCCCTTTCCCAGTGGACTTGGTTTCCAGGGTGACATTTTCCCTGGGGACATTCTCCCGGCCAGCTGTGCCTTAGTCCTCTTCTTCCTCATTCATCTCTTTATGTCTAAATCTAGCATTTACAGTATAAGGTTTGGTTTGGAGTTGCTGCTTTCTTAAGGTTAGGGTTAGAAATGGCTGAGTGTTTTAAGTAACCTACAACCTATTTTCTGACTGTGCATGCTAGATTATCAGTATTAAGGTAGTGAAGATCCTTGGTATAGAACTTCAGGTATTTGTAGTAATTTGGTGCTGTAGTGCATATGACTGTAGACCTTGCCCTCTTAGCTCTTCTCCATGTACCCCCCGACTAGACTGCTCTGAAGACAGGAATGTAGTGTTAATCAGTCATCTCTCAGTCTCTTTCCTGAGTGACAGGTCGCTCAGCAGTGGCAGTGCACACTGTGGTTACTGGGTTTGTTACAGCAGTGTTTCCTAATCATAGGCACAGTGAAGCTAATGAGAGTATCTGAATAAACAGAGCAGCGACCGCTGATTGGACCAATGGAGGGGACATGTGCCATGCGGGTTTTCCTGTTTCCAGCTCCACAAATGTATCTTTCAACATGATAAAAACAATTGAGAGACACTGATGATGATAAGTTAGTAACACGAGGACTTTTGCTGTTTTGCATAAGCGCCCTGATCACTTCACAGTCAGGCTTTTAAATCTTTTCCACTCGTGAGCCCGTTTTGCCTAAGAGACTTTTTTTTACATGACCCTAAATATATACAAAATCATCTCACAAACCAACAGTTACTAATTATAAGTCATAAATTTATTTTAAAACAGTTCATTATGTGATTTTACCATCCATTAAAGACAAAAACCAATCTACATACTAGTGAAATTAATGCTCCTTTTATTTTACTGTCAAGAATTAAGTCGTGACTGCATATTTGAAACAGCAGTATGTGTAGAGTATCTTCAACTGTTCTCAGAGTTGACCAATATTTAATTTTATAGTCATGAATGCCATTTTGCATAAATATATAGTGAAGGGGGCAGCAGAGGTTTGTTTAGAACCACTTCAGAAATTAGGAATTCTGTCCCAATTCCAATCCAGAATTAGTTGAACATTTTTTTTTATGAAACTCACATCAGTAACTCAAGCTGCAATTTTTAAAATTAAAAATTCTCACACAATACAACCCAGACATTTTCATTTCGAGGAGTGACAGCCTTAAAACATTAACAGCCTTTGTTTTCACAATTAAGCCATTCTGTTTGGGGACCAGAGAGAAAAGTTTGTACAGTATCTGCTGCAGCTCATAGCATTCGGTAGTCTGCCGTCTGAGCCGCAGCATCTCAGCCTGCTCATGGGTGCTGCACAGCCTGGGGTGAACGTGTGTTGTGTGAGTCTTTATACATTTGCTTTTAAATTATGTTTCAGTCATTGCATGTTCAGAAACCTTTTTACTGCCATTTTTTACAGCCATCCTCACAAGCAGTCAGTTATGTGACTGCATATGAAATCCTGGCCTGCAGTTTAAGCAGCAGGAGTCCAAGTATATCCTTTGACATTGTGTTGCCCTTGTGTATGCAGCTTTTTATGTTGAGGTAGCACTTTGATATAAGTACATTTTGGGTTGTCTGTGCACCCATTGTCCCGTTTGAACATCACCTCCCAGCTGAAGGTCTGTGTCATCTGCTGGCTCTGTGCACTCCTCTCCCGTCTTCAGGCTCCTACCTCAGCCTCAGCTGTCCATCTGCGCACCACTCTGACCTCTTCTCCTGGAACAAATCAGGACTTTTTTATTGTGGCGCAAACACACAACCATAGTTGCCTGTTAGACACTTGGTAGCAGCTTTCTCGGACCACCAGCCCTGGAAATCATGGCACAGAGACTAGTTATTATTATGAATGCTCGGCCTTATCTTATGCTTGTCGCACTAGCCCTTATAACTTAATTTAACCTGTTTCTCTTCATCTACGTTTTGCCTTGGGGAACTTTATCTTCTTTCCTTCTGTATGTACTGCTTTTGCTGCTGCTTCTGTGTCTGTTTGGCTGGCAGCTGCCTGGCTGGCTAGCCCTGGGTATCTCACTCTTTCTCCCTCATTCTCTTCTCTCTTGAGCCTAGATTCCTCCTCCTAATTATTCTCTAAATACCAGTCCTGCCTATCCCTCCTCTACATAGCTATTGACTGTTCAGCTTTTTATTAGATCAATCAGGTGCCTTAGGCAGGCAAAGCAACACATCTTTTCATAGTTAAAGCAATAGTCCACAATAGTAAGTATACAGTTGGAGTTCATGAAATAAACTCACAATGTTCTGCAGCCATTGCTGTTCCCACCTCTAACTCTCCGTCTCCCCAGCCTGGAAGTCCCCACTTAAGTTCTTACTCCTTGCCCTATCATTATGGCTTCTCTGGACTCCTCATGATGTGGGATTATACAACATTTACCCTTTGAATCTGACTGACTCTGCGTCAGAACTTCCCATTTGAAGGGTTAGCAAGGTGACCGCATTTCATTTCTCCATGCAACTCAGTACGCTCTTGGCTTGCTTCTCCTCAGCCCTGCGTGAGAATCCTGAGTGTGGGGCACAGAGACTGACCTTCACAAGCTTCCGTTATTTTCCAGATCTGGATGCTGACAGGTGATAAACTGGAGACAGCTACCTGCATTGCCAAAAGCTCACACTTGGTGTCCAGAACTCAAGACATCCATGTCTTCAGGCCAGTAAGTACATTTCTAAGTCACTTTGAACTGTTAAATGGGTTTTGTTCATTTGTTTGTTTTTGTTTTGAGAGGATTTTGGTTTGGTTTGGTTTGGTTTGGTTTGGTTTAGAATTCCCCCTACTTCCCCGAGACAAGGTGTGTAGCTCTGGCTCTCCTGGAACTTTTTCTGTAGACCAGGCTGGCCTTGAACTCAGAGATCTGCCTGCCTCTACTTCCCAAGTGCTGGGATTAAAAATGTGTGTTGTCATGCCCACCTAAATTGTGAAGTGTTTATCTTACAGTTAAAATGTGTATACAGTGATTGCTAAATATCTTTTAAAAATCAGCATTGGAGATGTTTTCTTATTCTGTTGTTGAATGATTTTTGTCATGCATTTTGATGGTAAACAAGCTGCAAGTTGAAAAGCATTTTTTCCGATATATTCCATATTGTTGTTGCTTCCTATTTTAAGTAGGCATACTACAGTCATTTTCTACTCAAAACTTATAAGAAGCTGTATGTTGCTTTTAAACATCCATGTTCCTTGCTAGCTGTACCATTTGTGCAAAGATTGCTCCTAGGAGACAAGTGCAGATAGAAAGTGGAAGCGTTGGTCTGCTGCCGCCCCAGACTGAAAGGTCTTCTCTACCTAGTGCAAGGAGAGTGGGAGGAGCTCAGTTGTGTGTTACTGTACTCACTGCTTATGATGAGTTTAATTCAAACAAGAAATACAAGTGCCTTGGGTCATGATTGAGGGTGAGCAAGCAGACACCATGTGGCAGTGGCTGTCTGAATAAAGTGCTCGCACCTACAGAAATAATTATTTCAGTATCATTTACATGTAAATGTATTTTATTTTGAAACATCAGAATCTCAAATTATGCCCTGCAGACTACTATTTGCAATTAAATTATTAATGCTTCTGATAAAACTTTCGATCAATTTTTGTTGGCTTTTAGAGTTATGGCAGCACAAATTAAAAATTTCACAGTAAACCTACCTACTTAGAGACGAGGTGGAGATGAATTTGGAGCATGTGAAACTTCTAATGTATTTCACTCCTCTGTCTTTCTCTAATGCCTCTAAAATCTTCACAGAAAGCATGCACAAAGCCAGTGCCTTAATTCCTGGCATATTTTCATTTTCAAATTAATATTTCAAGATTATGTATTAATTTTACCCTTTTAGACTCCTTACTTCTGTATATAATAAGTAAAAATGGGATGAGTTAAAACTCATGGCAAAAATGATAGAAGTAACTTCATGAAGTTATTTCGCATTATTCCACATTTATAAAGAAGCATGTTTAAATAAAACCCCAGTCTATACAATTGCATTTCTTACCTGCTGTGTGAGAAAGGGGAAGTCAACCTCCTTGGGCCCTTGTATTCTGACTTATAATTTTCTAGGGCTCTGTTTGTGATGTGTAAGCCAGCGATCTTCAACACTGCTCACAATACCCACACCTACACTGCCACCAGTTTAATAAATCATCTCCTAGACAGTGCTAGAAAATCCTTGGCATTACATTCTTATGAGAATATTTTTATAACAACAATAGCCCTCGCTTGCCTTCATGACCACAAACCAGAAAACAGCCCTGTGACGAGGCGCAGGCACATTATCTGTAAGGACCTTGTTACAGCACTTCTGTTCTTAGGGGAAGCACCTTTCGGTTCTAAGTACAATATCTAAAGGGTCCTATTGTGAGACCTGAAAATGTCTTACTGCTCTATTGCCTGCATTTTTAATTCATGCTGCTTTTTTTCCTCCAATGAAGGTGACCAATCGGGGAGAGGCCCATTTGGAGCTGAATGCGTTCAGAAGGAAGCACGACTGCGCTCTGGTCATATCCGGGGACTCTCTGGAGGTGAGCATGGGTGTGGGCACTTGCGCTCTGGTCATATCCGGGGACTCTCTGGAGGTGAGCATGGGTGTGGGCACTTGCGTTCTGGTCATATCCGGGGACTCTCTGGAGGTGAGCATGGGTGTGGGCACGTGTGGTCTCTCTCGTGTGCTAACCCTGTCCTACCTGTGTATCTCTCGGACTCCAGGACTCCAGAGGTCAGACTACTCTGTACCAGTGTCTGTCTTGCTTCTGAAATAGGACTTGTCAGTAATGTACTGTGTTCTTTCTCTCTGTCCATCTGGCTAAGACTGACCTCTGTGATTGAGTGTGTCTGTCTGTCTTCCCTGGGCATTCAGCCAAGATTTCCTGAATAACACATACTCCTCAGCAGCCCAGCCAGCCTCTCCTGTCATGGCAGTTTTGGGGTTTGGTTTTGTTTCATTCTGTTTTTCCTCTGTAACATCAGGACTGCTGAATGCTCAGTCCTGAGGACACGTGCTGGCCATGTCTGACTGACCCTCTGCCCCTCCTGTTTAGAAGCTGCTTGAGTTCAGCAGGTCAAGGCCCTGTCCTGGTTTTTGGTTCCATGCTCATTGTTAATGGCATAATCCTCCAGTGGTCATGACGTACTTTACTCTCCATTGTCTAGACCAGTGTTTCCATGTGTGTGTGTGGGAGGGGGTTCCATAGCTACCTGGGTAGAAGTAGTGGGCCCACCAGTCAACCTATGGCATTCTCAGGGCACTTCAGAGTGTAGGGGCCTAAGTGGACTGCAGGAAAAACTCAGGTGGGAAATAGAGGCCATTGGGCCAGTTGTTATTTGTACTTAACTATATGTGTGGTTTTCACCTTCATATTCCTCCTGTTCTCCCTGCTTCTAGTTCTCCTGCCCTAACACACTTAGGTTTATGAGCCTCATATTGTGGAATCACACAACATTGGTGTGTTTCCAAGAGCCAGACTGCAGTTCTCTTAAGGTTCAGTAATGTCTGTTTATCACTGCTGTAATAAGGGATTCGGTCTGTCCTTGCTGACAATTCACAGCAATTGCGACTTTGGTTGTATCAATGTTATCACGAGATGGTATTTGTTTGCTTTAATATGTTCCAGATAGTCTTTTCTATCTATAAACATAGAGAAGAACTATTCTCTTACATCCTGATAAGTAACAAAACATCTTGTAAGTAGCTAACTAAACCATACCTCTTCCATGAGATTAAAGGTTATATAATGAGAACTCTAAACCAAAAGAAAAAGAAGACATAAATGAAGATAGTTGTAGTGTGTGAAACCAAGTGCTGGGCGGCTTCCAAGGCATCCTTGACACGGCCTCAGGCGTCTTCCTTGACACGGCCTCAGGCGTCTTCCTTGACATGACCTCAGGCGTCTTCCTTGGCACGGCCTCAGGCGTCTTCCTTGACACGGCCTCAGGCGTCTTCCTTGGCACGGCCTCAGGCGTCTTCCTTGACACGGCCTCAGGCGTCTTCCTCCCCTGAACAGAGTGCAGACAACACAGCAGCCAGGGGTTCTTCTGGGACGTACAGATAGAAGGAGGTTGACAAGAATCCTGGCTACAATTGGAAAGGAAGTTACCACAGCTCCTGCAGGGTGTACACCTGCCACCCTCTGTGCAGCTGGCTGTTAGGTCTCGGGTCTTTTGAGAGATAAGAGCCCTCCTTTTGTTGGTGATCCGGGCCAGACTCCCTGAAGACCTGCTCTTCCAGTCCCTGTCCTTCATGATAGGAAAAACCATGGAGAGCCTGGAGAGGGGGTAGACAGTGCTGTGAGATGTGTGGTTTCTCATGGGTCAGACCAAGATCCCCTGAGCCACATGCCTGGGAACCAAAATAGGAATATAGTCTGGGGGAAGATGTTTGGAACTGGCTCCAGAGAAGGACACACATGTTTTGGACATATTAGCCCAGCAACGCTTCAGAATGTTCTATGATCTCTGACCTTTGCCTCTGCCTGAGACACTCTCCTCCCACAATACAGTACCTTTAGGAGATCTTGTACTCTTCCTAACTAGGGGTCTGGCCACCCCTTGCCCATCTCTGTACCGTGCCCTCCTACAACAAAAGGTGGTTTGGAGGGCATAGTCACAAACCCAAAAATGCAAGTATACTTACTTGAGGAAGTCTAAGGCTTCCCCACAAGTCTACTTACCTGCTGCTTGAGCCCAGTCGTCACAGCACTGTCTCCCAGGTCTGCCTGAGGTACTACGAGCATGAACTTGTGGAGCTGGCCTGCCAGTGCCCTGCTGTGGTCTGCTGCCGCTGTTCACCCACCCAGAAGGCGCACATCGTGACCCTATTGCGTCAGCATACCAGAAAGCGCACCTGTGCCATTGGTGAGCGCACCACCTTCAGGCATGCCTTGGGTGGGTGGTGGGATAGTGTGCCACCTTCCTATCAACAGTGAAATGTGACAACCACCTTTTCAACATTTACAGGCAAAATTGTGTTGTCTCTAAAACTGACTTCATCTACATTATATATATACTACCAGTAGTATCAAAACAAACATATAATGGAAAGATGATTTATTTAAACTTCAACTCTTGGTGCTTCCCAGGTGATGGAGGAAATGATGTGAGCATGATCCAGGCAGCTGACTGTGGGATTGGGATTGAAGGGAAGGTAGGTGTGTGCTTTCGTCACACATACAGCACATGTGCTCCCTCATCAGTTGACCTATTCGGGCCAGTCCCATCCCAGGAGGAGAGGTCAGCAGTCGGTCCGTCCTTTTGGTCTTCAGGCCCAGCCATAGATTGTTGGTAAACACAGGAAACTAGCATCCTTCACCATCCTTCTTATGCTTGGAGTGTCCTTAGGACTCTCTGAGGTCCTCTATGCTCATGAGCCCAGTCCAGTGTCACTGATTCCTCTCACACCTTCATTGGGCCTTGCCCAGCCCAGCACCTCAGCTCCTCCCCCTGCTCCACATGGTCCATTCTGTGCAGGTAACCCTTCTTCTTGCCAACTCAGCCAGGGTTGAGGTTTGAGTTTGTGGCAAGCTTGACTGCTCCCTGTGTAGTCACCCAAATATAAACACACAGCAAGAACTAGAAAATTTGCACAACTTGATTTTGTCTTTTTCTCTTTCCGGGGGGAGGGGAATTGGTTTCTCGAGACACGGTTTCTCTGTAGCTTTAGAGCCTGCCCTGGAACTGATTCTGTAGACCAGACTGGCCTCAAACACACAAAGATCCTCCTGCCTCTGCCTCCCAAGTGCTGAGTGGGATTAAAGGCGTGTACTACCACTGCCCAACTGATTTTGGCTTTTCCTTTGGCTGCTCTGTTCTACTCTCCTTTGTGGTAGTTTTGAAAAAACAGAGGTAGGTTGCTTTTACAAATGTGAGGAACAGAGGTTTGGAGAATTGTCTTGGAGAGGCCTGGGACCATGTGATGAGGTAGGGCGTCCCCGTAGCCAGTGCTACCCCTTCCCATCTTACTGTCTGTGTTGCTGATAGAGCAGCAGCTGATACCTGTGCTGACGCTCAGGTTCTAGTGCGGGCTCCTCTGCTCCACACTCTCTCATGCTGGGTGCCCTGCTCCGGGTGCTCTTTAACCCAGATGCTCTAAAACTCAGCTCTGTGTGCAGTTCTCAGTATGTGCTGTTTCTCAGAGGCTCCTTGTGGTTCTTCAGGAGGGGAAGCAGGCTTCACTGGCAGCCGACTTCTCCATCACACAGTTCAGACACATCGGCAGGCTGCTCATGGTGCACGGGCGGAACAGCTACAAGAGGTCTGCAGCACTCGGCCAGTTTGTCATGCACCGGGGCCTCATCATCTCCACCATGCAGGTAGCAAGCCTCTGCCAGCATGCCACAGCAGGCAGGGCCTTCTCTGTGCCGTTGTCGTGGGAGGTGATCACAGTATCTGTTATGTGTCATTGCATTCTAATGAGACCCCTGTGTAAATGTGGTGTGAATGTGACCACAGCAGCCGTGCCTAACTTACGATATCTTCTCTTAAGGCCGTGTTCTCCTCAGTCTTCTACTTTGCATCCGTCCCGCTGTACCAGGGATTCCTCATGGTCGGGTAAGTGAGTCAGATGCTCTTGATGCTGTTCATCTTCATGGATGTGAGAACTTTTTTATTTGCTATTTGGAGAAAGACATGCGAGTGATCCTCAGGGTGTTCTGAGTAATTGCTACATATAAGCGGTTAAGATGACTGACTGCCATAAAATCTTATGTTGAGTTTGAGGAAATTTGAAAAACACCTGGACACTTGAGCTTTTTAAGACTCTGCTAAGTTTCTCACTAGATTTTGTTTTCTTGGGGAAGCCATAATTTGTGTCAGGAATCATGGCAGATCTGAGGTTTTATAAAAGGGCCCCATAGCATAATGAGAGGGGCAGAACCAAGGGGCGGGTACATGCCAGCACTGCCTTCAGCAGGGGTTGAAGCAGGCAGGCCACAGCTGCAGGCCTCCTAAGCCTGCCCCATCCCAGTGAGGATATAACTGTACCATGAAGGGAACAGGACCAGCCACTAGCCAGGAATCAAGGCCTAGAAAGCATGGGGGTGTCTTCTTAGCTTTGGGAGAGAATAACTAGTTACTAGTCTGTCCCTAACAGCAACCAAACTGCCTTTACAGCAAGTGCTGCAGAAGTGTGGTGTGCCTGAAAGGAAGACTCCAAGTAAACAAACGTTGTTTCTGTCATCCTCTCCTCAGTTGTTACACCTAGAGATCATACACACAAGTGTGACTGTTAGTGCCCACAGATAAAGCTGTCCCCTCCACTTTCTGTCTCTGCCCATCAAGGCTCGTCACTCATCTCAAACCAGGGCTCCATCCTGTAACCAGAAAGCACTTGGAAAGGACAATTTGTAGCTGTGACCTTGATGTCGCCCCAGGAAGTGGCTGTCCTCCTGACATCCCTGTTTGGCCTGTGAGGACAGCGAGAAACAGGAGATTCAGGACCGTGCTGGCTCAGACTGGAAAGGATTGGCTTGGGTGCCACCTCCACTACACCGTATACCAGCACCTTTCCCCACAGTGCTCAGCTGCCCTGCTGGCTGGTGGAGGGTAGACAAAGCAAGTTCTCTTACAAGTTGATATGAGTGCGTCCTAAGTGCACAGGACAGCTCCCAGAACTCCTAATAACTTCAGCTAGAATCGGGGGTTTAGGTCTTTGTTAAATGTCAGGTCCCGTGAGTCACCGTCCTCTGTCAGTATCTGCTCTCTGCGGCGAATGCAGTGTCCTCTCTAGACTTCTTCCTTCTTACACCTCACTACATCATCAAAGCAGAAGGTGTGCCTGTGGCTTTGCCACCACAGCAACATGTCTTTCCCACAGTACAGCCGCCCTCTGTCAAGACTCAGTATCCTGTTGGGCCCACCCGGAGTCCATGATGGTGTCTAATGGATAAGTCCTTAGCGTAACTGTAAAGCGCCTGCACAATAGTGCTGATGAGGAGTGTGGGTCTCTGGGAAGCCAGTACGTTTCTGACCACATTGTGATATCATGAAGAAAAGGAAGGCCTCCCATCTCAGAACCAGACGTGTTTACTGCCTCTCACCATCACTTGGCTGTGGCTTTGGGAAATGTGCATAATCCCCTGAGCCTGTTTGACCCAATAGGAAGTTATAGTGAGGAGCTCAAGTGGTACTGTACAGACAGGCTGCTTGTAAGTGCCTGGCACCAAGCGCAGCACATCATAGGCAAGTCATTAAATAGGCCTCTGCTCTGTGACTAGAACCAGACCAAAGAGTGACAGTCGGTACAAAAACTGGACAAGCTGAGCATAGTGGGACATGTGTATAAATAATCCCAGAACTTATGAGGACCATTTTGGGTCTGTAGTGAGTTCCATTCCAGCCTTGGCTACAGAGTAAGGCCCTATGTTAGGAAGAGGGCAGTGGATGTTTTTACCAGTTTTATTTGTGATAAGCCCAAATTGGAAATAACCAAGATATATTTACACAAATGAGCAACTGGTTCAATGAGTGTGGCTCATGAGGTATCACTCAATTGTAAGGAAGGCACTGTGCATAGCCGTAGATCTCCAGGGCATGGCACAGAGTCTGGAAAGCCGTCCCTAAACTTGCCTTCTGCCTACATCTCCACAGTAGCCCTCACATGACAGAATGGTTTAAGTACAGGCCTGAGGGCTAAGTGTAGTTGACAAGACATGAGCGTGCCAGTGGGCTGGGTGTTGTAGTCAGGTCTGCCATCAGGTACTGTGGAGATATTGAGATGTCTCTGTATTAGGTGGATGCATGTGGGTCTGCAAGAATCATTCAAAGTTTAATAAGGAGACTAGACCTGTGGTCCAACACTGTGTAATCCTAGCTCTCAGGAGGCTGAGGCAGGAGGATCCCAAGTTCAAGGCCCACCGTGGCTTCCTAGGAAGTTTCAGTCTTTCCTTGGCTGTGAGAACCCTGTCTCAAAAAATAAGTTTAATAAGAAAACTCTTACATTAAATGGATGCCTCTCTCTGTAAGAGTCTGTGATTTATATGACAACCCTGTGCTGGGCTCTGGAACCAGACTCAGGAAGAATCTAAAGTGATGCCACCTTGGGGGTTTAGGTTTGTTTTTATAAGATTGTGTTTTCTGGGTTTTGAGACTGACCTACCTCTGAATCTAGGAACGTTGTCACAGTTTTGTCGCAGACATTCAGCAGGCTAACTCAATGTGGTCTTCTTGCTTTTCTAGGTATGCAACTATCTACACTATGTTCCCAGTGTTCTCCTTAGTGTTGGACCAAGATGTGAAGCCAGAAATGGCAATTCTCTACCCAGAGCTATACAAGGACCTCACCAAGGTAAGACCCCAGTGCCAGTCTCACCCAGTGAGAACACATCAGGGCTGGCCTTTGTGTATTCCAGCAAAATAGAGACGGCCTCTGTCCTGGATAACGTAAGAAATGTATGGCATGTAGCAAGCATTAGAAAACATTTTGAAGTATCATTTTTAGAAAACAATTTTCAACTCTCTGTAATAGTCATGTGATGTTGCACATAAGAGGTTAGTGAGTGTTCTGAACCATTTGTGAGCTTTTGTAAATTTAGCAAAGTCATCCAAACCTGTGCCTTGAGTCTTACAAAGGACCTTCTCTAGCTGTGGCTCAGCCTGCCTAGCACTGTCCCCATGTGAGAGGCTGGCCTCCTTTGCTCCGTGCAGAATGCAGCCCTCTCCAGCTGCAGATCCCTAGAGTCCGTGACTCAGGGTTTCCTGTGCATTCCTGGGTCTCTAGTTGTGAGTTTCAGAATTGCACCTTGAAAGCGGTTCATGCATGTCTCTGTCCTTGAGACATTCGCTGTTCTGTGGAGATAGTGCAGAGTGTGGTCTGACCTGCAAAGACTAAAGCTGCCACCATGAAGAGGCCCCACTCAGCTGGGAACAGCGCTCCTAAGAATAAACTGTTCCTAAAGAGGTTTGAAGTTGGCCGTGTATTACATCCAAGCATATTTTTAAAGATAAAAACCAAGAAGACAAGAATAGAGGAATAGCTGAGCCCTGCACATACAAATTCTTAAAAATTCAGGATTTTCTACATAGCTAGCTTTTCCTAAACCAGAAAACAGCTCCAATTTAAGGAAGTATCCATATGATATAGTGAAGAAGGAAATAGACTGGGTGTTCAAAGAATTAGTTGCTGGTCCAACTGACCATTAGCAGATTAGGATGTAGCCTAGCTATCTGCTAACTAATGGACTAGACTGTAGTTCAGCTGACTGCCAGCCAACTCACTAGACTGTAGTCCAGCTGACTGCTAGCTAACTCACTAGATTGTAGTCCAGCTGACTGCCAACCAACTCCCTAGACTGTAATCTAGTTGCTAGCTAACTAACAGACTAGACTGTATGTAGTTCAGCTGACTGCTTACTAACAGACTAGACTAGTTCAGCTGACCATCACCTCACCAGATAGGTGTTAGATAAAGTTGCCTTACTTTAGAGGTTTAATGGTATTATTATTATTATAATTACTAAATTTATAAAACTTAAAGCCTCTTAAAAGAGCTCTAAAGTATCCATATAATTCTGTTTTCAAGTTAAATAAATCTTCATCTTTATAGCATAAAATAACATAAACATCAACTATTGTCATGATGATAATGTAGTTGTAGCTACCAGAAGAGATTTCCCAAATTTTTACATATTACAACCATAAAAGGAACACTCTGAATCTAAAATTCTAAAATGAGACTAGGATCAGAATATGGCCGTAGGAACAAAAACTGTAGGAATTTATTGCAAATGGTTAGTTTTAGTAGCTCGTTCATTTGCTTATCTCCAGATATTCTGCAAATGTTTGATTAACAAAAGAAAAGCAGAAACCAGCTCTTGATACAACTTTAGACATCCCACCCCCTAACCCCACCCTTCTTACATCTAGGCAGTCTGTGTCCCTTAGAATTGGACACTGTAGGTCATGTTGCTCAGCTCTGGCACTCAATAGGACACTGTAGATTGTGTTGCTCAGCTATGACACTCTCTAGGACACTGTAGATTGTGTTGCTCAGCTATGACACTCTCTAGGACACTGTAGATTGTGTTGCTCAGCTATGACACTCTCTAGGACACTGTAGGTCATGTTGCTCAGCTATGACACTCTCTAGGACACTGTAGGTCATGTTGCTCAGCTATGACACTCTCTAGGACACTGTAGGTCATGTTGCTCAGCTATGACACTCTCTAGGACACTGTAGGTCATGTTGCTCAGCTATGACACTCTCTAGGACACTGTAGATTGTGTTGCTCAGCAATGACACTCTCTAGGACACTGTAGATTGTGTTGCTCAGCTATGACACTCTCTAGGACACTGTAGGTCATGTTGCTCAGCTATGACACTCTCTAGGACACTGTAGGTCATGTTGCTCAGCTATGACACTCTCTAGGACACTGTAGATTGTGTTGCTCAGCTATGACACTCTCTAGGTCACTGTAGATTGTGTTGCTCAGCTCTGGCACTCTCTGGCAGGTTTAGGATTCTCAATAGCAACAGTGAAGTAATGGGCAAGCACAGTCTTCCATGGGCATTAGAGGAAACATGGCTTTTACCACTTGTAGCAATTTAGTCCTTGTATCATTACAGGCACCTAAATTATCTAGTAACAAAACTATGGATAAGGTCACAAGTGTCTCAGTAGCTCATAGTCTCTATGTATGCATCATTAGTTCTCACCATATAAACTCAAGGAGTTTCTTGGGTTGCATTTCATCCAGGTGAAGTCTCCATTTTTGTAAAGAATTTAGAATGTCTCAACATCCCAGAATGATGCCTGCATTATTTTAACATTTCAGCTTCCCATTTTCTCTAAGTTCTCTTTTCCTGTGATCCAGAAAGCTGTAGTTTTTATCTTTGTAGTATCTAGTACATTACACATCTGGTATCCTTCAAATCCTTCAAAAACAAAATCATAGTAATTGGATTAAGTTGAACTGTCTTGTCTTAGTTGGAAGAACCATTTTGAAGCTTTTCATTTCTTCTGAACACTTTGGCAAGACACCCACAGGACAGCTCTTTCCATCCTTTAATAATCATGGAACCAGAGATGGGACACCATGTGCCCATGTAAGAGGCACCTACTATAATTGAAGGACATGCTTCTGATGAGCCTACATTTTAGCAGCAGGAAAAGAAAAGAAAAAACATATTTTGTGGTAAATGCCAGGGTGGTAGCAGAGGACAGCAGCTTGAAATAAGCATTTCCCACTGCTGATTTATCCAGGTATTTTCAGTTGCTCATCCAAAGTCAAAGCAACCAAAGGAGGTACTGTGTTCTTTGCAACAAATACCTGTGACTTAGTCACCCTTCTGTTGTCATGAATAGACACCATGACCAAGGCAACTTATTAAAGACAGCATTTAATTGGGGGCTTGCTTACAGTTTAGAGGGACAGTCCATGACCAGCATGGCGGCAAGTGAGCAGACATGGCGCTGGAACAGTAGCTGAGAGCACACATATGATCCACAAGTAAGAGGCAGAGAGTGAGAGTCTGGGCCTGGCATGGGCTTTTTAAATCTCAGAGCCCACCCCAGGTGGCAGATTTTTTTCCCCCCAACAAGGCCACATCTCTTAACTGTTCACAAAACTGGTCCACTAACTAGGGACCAAGCATTCAAATTAGAATCTTTGGGCCTATTCTCTGTCAAACCAGCACACACTGTTTTCTATTAGTCAAGGGTATAAACAGTGCGTGCATTCCAGATCCACTGTACTGTTCTAATCAGATCTGCTAACTGTGGGCCTAAACATTTGTTGGTCTGTTTCTCAACCTAAACCGTACCTGCCCCTTCTTATATGTCACCAGGTGTGGTTTAGGCCTTGGCGATAGAGATGGCAATAGTATCTGTTCACTAAATGGTTGTTGAATGAATGAGAGAGTAAAGCAGTCAACCACATGAAGGGACATCATTTCCTTCATTCTCAAAAAAATACCAGTTTCCTTTCCATACAGAAAAGAATGTATTTATAACTGAACTATTTCTTGATCTTTTAAAATCCAGTTTATGCTCTGAACTGTTAAGCATTGCTTCTCTTGAGGTCACTCAAGAAATTGATGTGCCCAGGGCCTTCCCAGCCCTGCAAGTTCCTCCATGTCCTGGGTGTACACACTCTTAGAGAGCTAGAAGTGAGTGTGAGAACAGGCTACAGAGGTGATTCCGCCAGCTGAGACAGCCCATACTTGAGGTGTCTCTGCTTGGCTGTGAGTTTGGCTCACGAGTCACGGTTTTACATCATTGATTAATGGCAGAAATAATTGTTTTATAAACAATTGTAAGTAATTACAAATGGCCTTTCATAAGAACCCTGCAGCTGTCTACCATTTCTTCTTTCCTGTAGAATATTCTCAAAATGATTCTATCTTTTAAAAATGTGTATATATGTCCTTGTATAATTTTTAAAGTAATGCTAAATAAAACCAAAAGTTAAAGGCACAGAATTTTACGAAGAAGAAAATTTTTTATTTCTTTTTTAGGTGTCATAATTATGTTGAAATTTCAAAAAAAGATAAAAAATATGTGATTTCTAATATACTAACAATACTTAGACCAGAAATTAATATCATTTTATTAATATAAACAGAGCACTTAAATATTACTGGTAAAGTATGCAAAACACATGCATTGGAACTATGACACACCTCTGAAAGATTTTTAAGATGGAAAGGGTGTGCTAAAGCAGCATAATTCACAACTTCATTCTAAGGCCTATACACCCACAAATAACTGTGCCTGTCACCCAGAGACCATCACAGAAAGCTAAACTAGTCAAAAATCACAGATCATGGCGAGCCCACCCCCAGCAGACACATCTAAACACTGCTCCTGCACCTAAGGTTCAGGGACATCTCAGAAGAGAAAATGGAAAGATCATAAGGACCTGAAGACCAGGAAGTCGGCTATGAGATTGTCTTGTAGAAATGACAAGGAAGCAACACCCATGATAGCTCAACAATATGACTGCTTAAACAAGACCTGAGCAATGACAGTACCAAATAAGGGGAAAGCCGTGCAGCCCCACCCCTAGAGTAAGAGCTGCGGGCCACTAACGGATGCTGGGAGAGGGAGAATTCGTCTTTCCTTCTAAAATTGGTTATCCAATACAAGATGATTAGCTCTGCAATCATAACCAAGCCACCCAAATGGACTCAGCAGTTTGTATCTATATATTTATACACACATATTCATATGCAGTATACACACACACATTCAAAGAAAAAGGCCATCCATTTGAGAGGAAGTAAGGGAGTTTGGAAGGGGGAAAGGAAAGGGGGAAGTGATGTAATTAAATTTTTGTTTAAAAATAGACTTTAAAAAAAATAAAAGAAATGCCAAAGTTCCCTGTACTTTGAATTCCTGTGTCTCATCTTAAGCTGGTGAGGATGTGCATCAACAGGAAGTGTGTGCTAGCTTTGTCATAGTCGCCAAGAGCTAGAAGCAGCCAGCTGTTCCTGGAGCAGGGAGTAGGTAAGCATTCCAGTGACTACAGGATAGCTGTGATGATGCTGCTGTGTGGTGGAGTGTTAGTGACTACAGGATAGCTGTGATGGTGCTGCTGTGTGGTGGAGTGTTAGTAACTACAGGATAGCTGTGATGGTGCTGCTGTGTGGTGGAGTGTTAGTGACTACAGGATAGCTGTGATGGTGCTGCTGTGTGGTGGAGTGTTAGTGACTACAGAATAGCTGTGATGGTGCTGATGTGTGGTGGACTGTTGTTCCAGTGACTACAGGATAGCTGTGATGGCTCTGATGTGTGGTGGAGTGTTGTGCAGAAGAAGGGAAAGCAGGTCACTCATACAGTATGAGTCACAGGTGGATCTGAACAGTGTTTTGCCAAGCAAAACTCAACTCTAAATTGCTTTGCTTCCTTCCCCTAAAATCTGGAGAGGATAGAACCAGAGGGCAAGAGCAGATCAGTGGTTGACAAAACTTTGTGGGGTGGGATGATCTCAGGGGGTTTGTGTCTGCCACTGTGTTATGGATACCTCACTGTGCTGGTCAGCCCCTCCAGATGTGTACACAGCAGAACAGATATTGGAATGATGGGATCTAGGTAGTAGCAGATAAATCTCCATCAGATCACACCAGACGTGGTGCCTGAGGGAGGACAGCGTCCTGAGTACCTCTCATCCACTGAAAGACCAGAAATAGGAAGGACTGTACAACCCACAGTCCCTGTGTGTAAATGTACTTCTAACAGGAGACTCTTGTGTGTCCTTAGTGTGCAGGAAACACGTGCGAATGAGTGGCTAGTGAGAAGAGCCTTCTAAACAGATGAGACACAGGAGTTCAGGGCTGGCTTGGTCGTCAGCGTCAGTTGGGACCGGTTTTGTTGCAGATGAACAGAAAGACACATTGCAGAGTGTGAATGTATATGAGTATGGCTTAGCCCTCGTGTGGACCTGGAGCCAGTAACTGTGAGCACATCGGGGGCCATACTCTAGTCAAAGAATCCAGTGTTTTTCAGCCAGTGGAGTTGGGCCCTAACGGAAGAGTAGATTCCAGGTTATGCAGAGAATGGAAGCCAAGCTGAAGCACCGTGTGGCACCAGACACCTGCTGAAGTCAGTGAGGATGATGGTGTTGAACTAACGTGGGGCTCAGCCAGAAAGAGTTCCCTCCAGGAGACAAGAAGCACAGCAATCTTACTAGGGCCACACTAACGTAAAAGGGGAAATTCCTCCTTAAGGAAGAGTTCCTGTGCTAATGTGAAGGACGCCAGGAACCACTAGGAGCCCCAAGAGTGCTAACTACTAAGTGAAACAACTATATGGGGCATTTCTTGGGCTGAACGTATATTCCCAAGAAGGTTTGGGAATACCTACAGCAGCAGTTTAACAGTGGAACCCCAGGAGATATCACCTCTAAAAACTGAACAGGGGTACCGTCTTGGATGCCCAAGTTGGACATCAGTAGTTTTCCATTAACGTCCCTGGGTATAATTAAGAACATTTGCTGTCAGAGACATCCATGTCCTGGTCTCACTGCCACCTCACCATCATTCCACTATTTGTCAAGGATCCGGTCTTCCAAAGATACCAGCCAAGTGCAAGCGAGAGAGTCTTTTTAAAAAAAATGAGATAGCCTTGCTGTACTAGTCCAGCCAGTGCTACACAGCAAGGCTGTCTCAATAATAATCATCATCATCATCATCATCATCATCATAATAATAATAATGAGATAGCCTTGCCGTACTAGTCCAGCCAGTGCTACACAGCAAGGCTGTCTCAATAATAATAATAATAAGGGTTCCTTGCTGATTTAGGACCAGTGGTTGCTGAGTGGCTGTGGGCAAAGCAAGCCCCTGGCCAGGCTGGAGAGTCGGTGGCAACTGTCCTCTGCTGCCACCGCTCCTGTGGGGATACAGAGCAATTGTTCCTCACTCTGCCAGCCCTGACCTGGCCTAGATGCAGACTGACCAAGAGCAGTCGGCCACATATCAGATTGCACAGTCTGCTTTCAGGTCTTACATGTTCAAAAATATTACCAGTTAGCTAACAGGTCTTTCTGTGACATCACCATGTGTATCAGACAAACTGTGATTTGTTCTTCAGTTTCTATTCTATTTTCTTTTATTTTTTTTAGTTGCCTCTATGATATTTATACTATAGACCCTGCCTCCTCATTTCAACTTTGGGAATATAAGAGGAGCAGTCGTTTTGTTGTTTCTGATAGGAAATAAAGTCATGTATAATCATATGTGCACATCAGTTGCACACCTGTAACCTGCATGGTTACAGCATGATTCCAGTCCACTTGTATGTCATAAACACATGTCACTAAGCTACACATGCATTCTATACCCAGTGACATTTTGTGCTTTCATTTTCATGATTTTACTCATCTTGGGGTTAATTAACCCTTTTGTAAAATTCTTTTTTTATTACATTTTTGGTTCATCTACATTTAAAGTGTGTAATGTTTAATTAGAGAAATATCTATGGTAATACCAATTGAATATGCTACCATTCATAGTTTCCTTGACCTGAGATGCATGCCATTAACTGCATTTCAAAGAAAAGGAAACTGAGGCCTGCAGATTTATTCAGGAACTGAGGATAAAACAGGAGGTGTGTGCTGGGCAAGGCTGACTCTGGACGTCTGTCCAGAGCCTGTGTGATTCTGACGTGTCTACCACATGGACAGAGTCCCTGTTGGGTGGCCTGGTCTTTGGTACTTGAGTGAGCGATTGAGCCTGTCAGTTAGAGGAGCAGGAAGAGCAGCCTTCTAAACAGCCTGCAGTCCATAGGACTGAGCTGCTTCAGTGGCCCATAGATTTGTGCCACAGAGTGGGATTCTTTCTCCCACGGATCTGTTTGGAAGCATCTACATCAGGAAACACGAGCCTTATGCACATTTCCTCTGATTACTTATTGATGGTTTTATACCCATTTTATTAGTCCAGACTTACTAATCTGTGGCCTCTGTAGTCAGTAGTCGTCATACATGCCCTGATATGTTTGCAGCCTTAACAAGACACATGGCACAAAGTCCTCATTAACTTCCAACATCTAAATTGATCATTTTCTCTCAGTCTCCATGCATTTCAGAAAATCTGGCTATTGAGTACATCTCTTTACTTATACAAAACATTAAAGTTAAATTTCCTTTTAAATTCCTGAAGTAAAATTAGTCACATGCTTAATTACAGATGAGTTTTATGACCAGAGACCAAACATGCTAGTGTCTGACAAGAGAAGTGCCCTTGGAAAATAGGTGCTAGAGAAACCTGCTGAAGTTCTCTGCTTTTGAAAATCAGTATTAACTTTAATCAAGTACGGTAGAGTTGATTTCTTCTTAGGTCATCTGTAGTGAGGATTGGGGCTCAGTCAGCATCTTCCCTGATAGACACTTGTAACCAAGGAACTGCTTAAATGGAAGTGTAGCTATTGTTTGCAGTTACAGTATAACTGGAATTAGAGTATACACATGTACCTGCATGCATGTGTGCTTACCACATCTGTGCAGGTGCCCGCAGAGGCCCGCGTGTGTTTATGTCCTCTGGAACTGGAGCTCCAGGTGGCTCTGCACTGCCTTGTGCTGGAGGGGCACTGCGCTTCCTTAACTACCAAGCTGTCTCTTCAGCCCTGTGGCAACACATCTTTCTGCTTTGACCACTAGAAGTTCCCACCATGCTCCAGTCCATTGCGGTTCTAGGCTGTGGTGTGTTATTGCTGTCCTGCATCCCTGGAGTGTCCACCTTTCCTTGTACGCTCTTATACCCACATCTCCTACAAGAACCCTCTCCTAGGGAGTGGAGATGGGGGGAAAGGGTGTATTAATGCAGAACATTGGAATCTGAGTCAGTGACATCACAGGATGCCAGAGGCATGCAAGAAGGAGCTGAAGGACCTGTGCACCTGTCTCCACATAGAGGCTCATGGTCATCCTACTCTGGCATATGTCACCTGATGGGCATAGCATTGAGTCCTTGACAGTCCTTCCTTGTATTGGAATATCTTAAGCTGTGAGATTCAGTGCAGGGGACTAGGCAGCATCTTTTGTCTCTGGACCATGCTGGGAGCCTGTGCTTAGTCTGAATGGTAAGGCAGAGTATACAGGAAACCATCTCATCTGTCTGTGCTGGACTTACAATGTGGAAGGTTTTCCTGAAAGGATTACCAAATCAGAAATTCTTACTCCAGTTGGGACAAGTCATAACTGAAATGCCTTCACTGTTTCTACTTTGGGGTGGGGGAGTCCAGAGAAAACTGAGAAGTAAATAATTATTTCTAAAAAGTAACAAAGTAGAGGGAAAATATTTTTATTACAGTCTTTATCTATTAGTTCAGTTAAAGGTTTGTCTGTAGATACCAGCTTCTGGGTTACTAGGAATCCAAGGACATGGCTGTGGCTTAAGAATTCCACACATGAGAAAAGGCACATAAAACTCCAACCAACCACAGGCATTCGCTACACACCATGATGCCCACCCAGGCTGAGGTCCCCTTTGTCAGGCTTAGGACAGCAAATGGGTGGGCCCCTGCCCTTGGGACTATATAGTCAGGCATGCTACTCTGCTCTCCTAACCAACCGTTCCACTGTCCACCCTAGGGCCGGTCCCTTTCCTTCAAGACCTTCCTCATTTGGGTTTTGATCAGCATTTACCAAGGTAAGATGGCTCCTGATTTCACCAGACCAGAGAGAGAGTGTGTGTGTTAGCAATACTGTGTTCTGTTTTTGCCTGCAAATTAAATTTCAATGGTTTAAATTTCTTCAGCAGTTAAGTTTGTTTCTCTGTTTCTCTTGTAGATTGGTATTCCAGCGTGGGGATGTGTGCATTGATATTCTGGGGAGAGCTTTTGATTTTGGGTTGATTTTGAAGGTTTTGAATTTTAGAGATAAGCTCTCTTGTAGCCCATGGTGGGCTCAGGCAAACTGATTATGTGGCTGAGACTGGTCTTGAACTCCTGATCCTTCTGTTTCCACCTTCTAAGTGCTGGGAGCTGAGACTGGTCTTGAACTCCTGATCCTTCTGTTTCCACCTTCTAAGTGCTGGGAGCTGAGACTGGTCTTGAACTCCTGATCCTTCTGTTTCCACCTTCTAAGTGCTGGGAGCTGAGACTGGTCTTGAACTCCTGATCCTTCTATTTCCACCTTCTAAGTGCTGGGAGCTGAGACTGGTCTTGAACTCCTGATCCTTCTGTTTCCACCTTCTAAGTGCTGGGAGCTGAGACTGGTCTTGAACTCCTGATCCTTCTGTTTCCACCTTCTAAGTGCTGGGAGCTGAGACTGGTCTTGAACTCCTGATCCTTCTATTTCCACCTTCTAAGTGCTGGGAGCTGAGACTGGTCTTGAACTCCTGATCCTTCTGTTTCCACCTTCTAAGTGCTGGGAGCTGAGACTGGTCTTGAACTCCTGATCCTTCTATTTCCACCTTCTAAGTGCTGGGAGCTGAGACTGGTCTTGAACTCCTGATCCTTCTGTTTCCACCTTCTAAGTGCTGGGAGCTGAGACTGGTCTTGAACTCCTGATCCTTCTGTTTCCACCTTCTAAGTGCTGGGAGCTGAGACTGGTCTTGAACTCCTGATCCTTCTATTTCCACCTTCTAAGTGCTGGGAGCTGAGACTGGTCTTGAACTCCTGATCCTTCTATTTCCACCTTCTAAGTGCTGGGATTACAGTTGTCTATCACCGTGCCCAGTTTGTGTGATGCTAAGGGTCAAACCCATGTCCCCCTTTATACAAAGCAGGTACTCTACCTACTTAGCTGCATTCACAAGCCCCAGACTGGTACTTTTTAACTATTGTGTGTCAGCCAATCAGAAAACTCTGTAAGTACTTTTTATATTGTGCTACACAGTGGCTGTCTCTGAGAGATGTATTGCCCTCTGCTAGAGTTCCCAGGAAGGAAGGATTGTCCTAGCATCATTAGCTTCCTGATCAGAGAGCTCATGTAAGACATACTGTGAAGTTGGCTTCCGGCAGATCTGCAAGACTGGCCTGTCCATCCTCACCAGCAGTGGCTGTGCTCCTGGTCCCTGTTGCATGTGTGTAAGCCAACCATTCCTGTGCTCCCTTCCAGGTGGCATCCTCATGTACGGGGCACTGGTGCTCTTTGAGGCAGAGTTCGTCCATGTCGTGGCCATCTCCTTCACGGCACTGATCCTGACTGAGCTGCTCATGGTGGCTCTGACCATCAGGACATGGCACTGGCTCATGGTTGTGGCCGAGTTTCTCAGTCTGGGCTGCTATGTCGCCTCACTTGCTTTTTTAAATGAGTATTTTGGTAAGTGCTTGGAGCTTTGATTCATTATCTGTGACGAATTAACCTTTTGTTGTTATCTCTTCAACAGCTTATATTATAGACAAGTCCCAAAGCAGAAAGTTTCACAACACAGAAGTTTGTTTTTATGGAAAGATAAAAATCATGTAGTGATTTGTAAAATTAAGACCTTCACAGTCCTGTGTATGTTTGCTTGCGATCATTTTCCCTAAAAGAACTGTGCTATTGATGTTTTCATGGTGGAAGCTGATGAGCTCTTCAAGGCAGCCACTTTTGGAGAGGAGGTCTAGGTGTGTTCTACTTCCTTCTGCTGTCTGCAGAAATCATAGCAGCCCAGCAGGCAGCCAGGCTCCTCACCATGTGACCAGGGCTCTTCACCATCACCTCCCTGAGTTGGAGTCCAGGGCCTGTTGCTTCTAACACATTCTTTGTGCTAGCCCTAGCCCCAGCTCACAGTGACTTACGAGGTGACCTTGGGACTATGGGGCTACCCTGAGCCCTGTGCTCTCAGAAAAGAGACCCTAAGTGAAATGCACTGTCTCCTGAGGAGCTGCCCGTCTGGGTCTACACTCGTGTGCACTGTCTCCTGAGGAGCTGCCCGTCTGGGTCTACACTCGTGTGCCCTCAACATTCCCAGTGGCTCCCATGTCCGCTAGCACTGCTCCGCCCTCACTTGGCCCACTCCACTCTGCTCTGCTAGGTTTCATCACTCTTCCTCCCCAGCCAGAGGCTGAGAATGGCAGACGCCAGGTCACCTCAGCATGGTCATTGTACCTAATGACACCACGTCTGATTCTTTCCCAAGATCTATAAAATCACGGCCGAAGGAAAAGATACTCCTTGTGCATCTGTCAGTGTGGGGCTGCACTGCTCCTGGAGTATAGAAAGGCCCAGCTTCCCAGACTTCAGAGAGTGCGCATGCTCCTTGCACCCATGCTGTACTTTCTTGTAGCTGCCTGAAAGTCAAGCAGAGTGCTTCCTGCTCCAAAAAGAAAAGCTCCAGACTTCAGAAAGGAGAAGGCTGTATGTGTCCCTCTTGTGTTTTCCACACCCATGACAGTGGCAACAGCTGCCTTCATGAGCAGTTGTCCATACAAGTCAATCACCCACCTGAATAACAAAGCCCTCTAGGTGGTAGATCAGAGCCACAGTGGTGAGTTCACTCACTGTAGGCCGTCAGTCTTCAGAGCAGGCGGAGTGACGCAGGTGGGAATGGAATCAGCCTGAAGTCCACATTGCACTTGACGTATAAGAAAGGGCTTTCAAATGAGACCATCAGGTGTGGCAGGGTTCTAGCACAGATCCAGGGGGCGTCTGGGCATTTGCTTCCATATTGCAGTGATGTAATTGTTATATTGCCATTCTGCTTAAAAGATTATGTGGCAACAGGCAATGAAATGCAAGTTGAGACTCCCAGCACAAGTGCATTTCCTGCTAACATTCTACTGCTTTTTAATGCATTTCTCCGGTAAGTAGCTAACTAACCACTGAAAACACCTGAGCCTCTTTCCGTCTTCCTTCATCTGCTTTATCCATGTTTTCTCTCGGCACAGGTATAGGCAGAGTATCTTTTGGCGCTTTCTTAGGTAGGTAAAGTTATTATTCCCTTCCAGAGTACAGACTTTTAGCAAAAAAGTGTTGGTTTGGCACGCCAGGCTAATTCTTGGAAGCCAGTTTTCCTCTGACTTAGCACTCCTCACCCACTGAGCCCTTCGCGAACCCTCCCTGAGCGGCACAGTGTGCTCCTTGCTGTAGGTGCCAGCTAGAGACTGGGTGCTGAGCTCCAGGCCCAGCGTGAGTCTGTTACTCCAGTGAGCAGACCCTCTTATCCCGGCTTTGACAGCAGTTTGTGGACTCCTCAGCACAAGTGAGGCTTTCCCACCTGTCTTGCCATGAGGACTTTGGTGGCCTTGTTAACCACAAGCGAGCTATGTCCTCTGTAAATCATGCTGAAAGTGCCGTCTGCCCTGTTAGCCAGCTCCAGGCCTTCCCAGTGCCAGGATGTGCTTGCTTCCTGTGCAGAGAAGCACGAGTTGGACGGGTGCACAGTAAGGACAGTCAAGGTCAAGGCAGACCTGTGTGCATGGCCCCGGTGGAGCCCATGGCTCTGGGATCCTGAGGGGCTCAGTCTGGGCTGGGAGCTCCTGTAGCCGCTCTCAATATCTCTCTCTCCTCCCGACAGATGTTGCCTTCATCACAACCGTGACCTTCTTGTGGAAAGTGTCAGCCATCACTGTGGTCAGCTGCCTTCCACTCTACGTGCTCAAGTACTTGAAGAGGAAGCTGTCCCCTCCCAGCTACTCCAAGCTGTCCTCCTGAATATGACATGAGGCCAGGTAGAAACACTCCTGCGCTGGGCAGCGTGAGGGACTGGCCCTGCTGGTGGGCTTGAGGGCTGAGTTCCCCCGGCTCTCCTCCCGGTGTCTGTACTGTAGCAGCGTGAACAGCTGCTGAAAGGAAGTGATTGCTTCAGCACGGCTGGGCAGGGTTTAGTTCCTGAGCACCGAAAGCTAATTTCTGCAGTGTCCCAGCACGCGGCTCCTTCCTTTGATGGTGTACTGTAGAAAGCCATTGCTGCTCAGACTGGAGGTGACATGGCTGCACATGCCACCGCGCCACAGCAGACAGTGGACCTGCTCGTCCACCCTGACACTGGCACACTCCTCTTCAGACGCAGTTTTGCTTTTCACTGGACACCACACACATAACAAGCCCAAGTGGCCAAGCAGTGACACTTCTGGTATCCTAATTCCGTTGCAGCTATGAATGTAAACCGTTCCTCGAGGCACTGCTGTTAGCCGATACGTTTTTATACCATGAAACCATATTCAAAGCCGTTTACGTAGAACTCAGCTGTCCTGTGCAACTCACAGCACCACAATGCTTTGCTTCCTGAGTAGGGGTTCCTAGACGACATGGCTTTACCTCAGCACTCTGAGCTTGTGATGGCAGATCCTCTGTCGAAGGCTGCACTGAGGGCTGGTGGGAGTTCCCTAGGGGCATGCTGGGCTCAGTTCGCCCCATGCATTGTGTGCGTGCAGCTCTGCACTGTGCAGTGTGTCTGCCACACACACAGTGGGCCTTGTGACCTCAGCTCTCCCCACTGTGCTGCAGGCTGTGGGAGTCTCCTTTGCACTAGTTTTTTGTACGTGCCTGTGCTCTTCAGCTTGACTTCCCTCAGATGTAGGCCCCAAGACCCTGAATTCCTTGGGGGAGGACAAGCTGCGTGAGCAGAACACTGCGGATGTCCCCCTCACAGGCTGTGGGTCTGTGCAGGACCCGCCCCAGGCTTCTGTGAGCGCTGCTTTTCAGAGAGAAACTCTGTGGCGTAAATAAAGCTTCATTTGTCCCTATAGTGCCTTTTGACTTGACCGCCTTTGTTATTAGTAAGGAACCTTCTGGGTATTTTAAGTATTCCTACAGAACTGCCATCAGGAAAAGCTGTTTCTGACATTCCCCACAAGGTGTCACTGTTTGTTGTCAGTTCACAGGCTGTTTCTCCTCTCTGTTGAAAGAGGGAATCCATAGGCCACTGACCAACCTATCTGACTGGACTTCACTGATGCAGCGGGAATTAAGGGTGTTGGATTCACAGCAATGCCAAGGGGCCACGAGGCGAGGGCAGGCACATTGCTTAGGTCAGGGTGTGAACTGACTGCAGATCACTCACTGTGTGTGCTGTTTTGAAATAGAGCTCACATGGGAAGCTAGACCAGAAGGCGGTAAAGAGTTGCAGGCAGCCTCAGAGAATAGCACTGTGAGTCTCTGGGGCTCAGCAGCTTCCGCACAGCAATGGGATACAGAGAAGGAGAAGTAGTTGGGCTTTGTATCTTTAGAGGCTGAGATGCACGAAGTCCTAGTTAGAGACTGTGGGAAGCTATTGCTCCTCCATGAAGTGAACATAATCTCCCCCTCAGGGTGCCGCTGTCCGGGTCAGATGAGACGACGGCTGGAGGAAGCCCTGAGCAGATGCCTGGCACACAGTGACTCAGACGGCTGTGTAGCATTGCTCCTTGGCTGGACTGAAGAAAATGACTGCTTAATAAAGGATTGTTTGACCTGATCTAGCTCAGGCCTACAAAGTAGCTCTTCAAGTGTCAGGGAAAGAGGCACCTTGAGGAGCAGCGCTGTATGTTTCTGCTGGCTTCTAAGACAACCTCGCTGAGTGTAGTTTTAAATTCTGGAGCTGTGTTGGCTCCAGAGGTTCTCCTGGACAGGCTTGCCTGCTGATGAGCACTGCTTAGCCCTCACAGGACTTCTGCAGGCCTGCTCCTCTGCCTTGTGCAAAGAAAGGGCTCTGGTCTCCACCTCCCTCCCCATTGGAAGCTCTAAGGCAGGAAACTTTCACAAGTTCCTCCAGTACACAAAGGCATGTGACAGACATGGTCTTGCTCGTTACACAGGAAAGAGTAGATGTAAGGGAGCTAGCAGGACAGATAGCAAGTGGAGAGACTCCCTGGAAAGACGGAGTTGAGCCAAGACCAGAAAAGATCCATTCACTCCAAGAAGGAAACAGCTCTGGGATCAGAGGAGCAGATGGAGCCGAGTGTAAGGGTGGCTCGGAAAGGACAGTGGGGCGGGCATGGTGGGCGAACAGAGGGAGAATGAGCAACTGGACAGTGGGCAACTGAATAGGTAAATAGGCTGGTGTATAGATAGCAGGTGGGTGGATGGATCGATGGATGGCCGGGCGCTCCAGCAGGTAAATAAATGAGTAAGCAGATAGACAGGTGGACAGATGAATGGATGAACAGATGGGCATAGATGGGTGGGTGGCTGGATGAGCTTTGATGACCACGTAACATTTCAGCCTAGGACCACCAGGCTTTTCCTTCTGGCCTCACTGTGTTCCCACAGAACCATGACATTGTTAAAACGGCCCCAGGCTCCTTCCCGTGGTGCTCAGAGTAGCCAAGAGGCCAAGTGCTGCTCCACCTCCGAGGGAGGCCGGCCTGAGGACCCGTCCTCATGGACAGCGTCCTGGCATATGAGTATACCAGAGGCCTTAGTCAAAAGACAGGTGATCCAGCTGGGCAAAAAGCAAAACTAGCAACATTCTGTACCGAGACAAGAGTGGGCTGAAAGCAGACGGACGGGGCAGCTGCAGTGTGCTACCAGGAGGTATCAGGAAGCCAGTGGCCATGGCAATATCCTTCACCGTTAACTGCATATAAAAGTATCCCTCAGGACAAAGAGAACACTTGGTGGAAACTGCGCTAAGGTGAAGTGGATACGTGAAAGAACGCTCTGCTCTCGGCCGGCCAGTTGCCCTCCTCAGCAGAGCTGGTTTCTTTAGTTTTTAAAGGTTTTTGTCTCTGTGTACATACAGGGTGGGTGGTGCATGCACTTGTGTGCAGGTATGCCCACCCATGCACACGTGGAGGCCCGAGGGGGATATCAGGAGGCCTGTTCCATTACTCATTGCCTTATTCCCTTGAGACCAGTCTCTCACTTAGCCTGGGGCTAGGTTGGTAGCCAGCATGTCCCAGGATCCTCCCATCTGCCTCACGGTGCTGGGGTTACAGGTGCAAACAACCACACCTAGATATGTAAGTAGGTGTTAGGGCCTTGAACTAAGCTCTTGCTTACATAGCACGTGCTGTTGCCGCTAACGCATCTCCCCACCTCTGTGGCTGGCATCTTTACCTCTGCTGGTAGTAGCAAATCTGGAAGGAGAGAGAAATCAAGGTGGTGATGTCAGCCCATCACACTAGCTGGGTGCCCAGCCCGCTGCAGAAAACACAGCAGAGTGGCCGTGTGCTGACTCAGTAACGGCCCCAAAGAAGCTCAAAGCCAGAATCAAGTAGACATGCTTGACACGTGCCTGTAATTCCAACATGTGGAAGACTGAGGCAGGAGGATTATAAACTCAAGGGCATAACAAGGCCCTGTTTCACAAATCCAGAATCAAATGGCCTACTTCTAAAGAAGGTAGAAGGGGATGGTTAGAGAAATTCTACATTGCTTTCAATGAAGTGAAAATGTCAGGATTTGAGAGATGCAGTTAAAGCCATGCTTGAGGGACTTACAGGTTTAAATGCTTACATGAGAGGGGAAGTCTAAAATCAAGGCTTCATTTTGGGGAATCTAGGGAAAACAGCAAAATGCACTTAAACAGAAAGAAAAAAAAATGATGAATGTCAGCAAAAAAGGTTCACACTGGAGGCAGTAATCCCGAAAGCCAGCTCTGAAGATGAGCTGAGCTCCATCTATCTGCCCCACGTGCTGAGGAGAAGAGACCAGATTCCCACGCTTGGGTTCGGTCGATGAGACTGCAGCACACTCGTGTGAAAACATGCCTGAGAACATGAGGAAACTGAGCAGTCAGCCCATGGTCTGCTGGAGCAGAAACTCACCAGGGAGACCAAAGCTGCACTCTTGAAGTGGACAGGAGGCAGGGAGACACAGCAAGGGATCAGGTTTGCCGTGTCCCCTTTCTTCTGGGCACACCCTAGTGGCCTCCCTCTAGGCCCCATCTCTGACTGAGCCTCACAGTTCCCTCAGCACTGTCTCCTGGAAACCACACGTGAGCCTTTGGAGGGACACTAGCGGCATTCTTGGGGCTTGCAAGGTGGGGCTCCCAACATCCTGTGGCAGGCAGTAGCAGCTCTGTACCCCACCATTTCTGGTTCTTACTGTACATGGTAAACAATGGCAGGGTTCTTCCCCACAAATTAAAGTTTCCTATGAATCTATATTCAAAATAAAAAGTTTTAAAAGCAACAAAGATCTGCTGAGGACTGAGAGATCTTCTGCTGAGTGGTCGTCTGGTCAGTGGTCAGACCCTGGCCCGAGCGTAGGAAGTGAGCTCAGTCCTGGGCTGTAGCCCTGCAGAATCCTTTAGTTTTTCTGGAAGGAAAGCCAGTTGGTAAGACCAGTCGGCTGTGAGCAGACATGAGAGTGGCAGAGATGCATAGCTTGCAGACAGCTCCCTTGTGGGCCAGTCCCTGTGAGCCAGCCCAGATGGGAAGAACCTGTGGGCCAGGGGTCCTATGTCTTAGGAAATGCCTGCCTGCCAAAGCTTCCAGCCTTGTGTTGCCAAGGAACAGGACTCCCCAGGATGGCAGAGGGTGCCGTGGGCACCAAGAGGGAAGCCTGCCAGTCTCAGAGCTGTCCTGCAGAATGTTCCTGGACCCCACGAGGACTTTGTCCTTGGCACCCTCTTTCCCACCACATTCGGAGTCTGGCACCTCCTGCCACTGGCACCCTTGAGGGTAGAACTGACCTTGCAAGCCTTCACGCATCAGGAAAACAGCATTGCACTGCAGGCCTGCTCGGAGTGTGCAGTGTCAATAATTAAGGGCTGCAGAAACTGAGGCACAGAGGAGTTGAAGGGGTTTCTCAGAGTGAGGGGACCAGACCTTGCACACAAGAGTGGTACACACGTGGACCTGGCTGTGCCTAGTGCACTGCTTCTCAAGCCACGGGTCCCCATCCATGTAGGCCCCTAAATCACCCTTGCTAGTTCATGCAGGCCCATATAGAGACCTGAAGGGGTGGGAGGGGAAGAGCTGGACATAGACAAGCACCTTTGTCCTCCCTGCTGGATCTGCACCCCACAGCCCTCAAGTATTCCCAAACAGGGCCTCTCCACCCTTCTCATGCAAGACTGACTGCCCTCCACATTCCTAAATCAAAACTGCCTGGCTATGAACACAACCATGCCAAGCCCTGCATTCTCCCTTCGTCTCCTTGTAAGTGTCCACAGGACTTGGCAGAAGGCCCGATGGGACATGATCTGTTCAGCTTTGGGCATTGGTCAGTGACTTGATCAAGTGGGATGTTTGTCTGGGAAGGATCCTAGAGGGAAAACTCCAGCTCTAGGTTCCAGTCAGGCACGGGCACCAACCTGTGTCATCGCATGGTGCCTTTTAGCAGTACATAGACGCCAGGTTATAGAATGCCTTCTCCCACCGCTTGCCTCCCACAGCCTGCATTGGCACAGCCAAGTATAGGTGTAATTCCAGATCATCCCAGGAGGGGGCAATAGAACCCAAGAAACGGTGCTTCCACGTTGCTCTGGCCGCCCAGGCTTTGGTGAGGTTAAGTCAGCTAATGGATAGAAGGAGCACTCCCTCCGTGCCGCATCTTCATGGGGTCCTGGGTTGTTCTGATGGGAACATGCTGCTCACAGACACTTGTGTGTAGATGGTATCTGGTTTTGCCTGAGTGGGAAGCCTATTTCCCTCTGCAGTGAAGCCCCAGTGTCTGAGTTCCAAGTGCCTGGTTCTTGTGGGAAAAATTTAAGAGATACGCCCAGGACCTGGGCCTGGGAATGTCATAAGATGCCAGTCATCTGGGAGGTCCTGTTTATCTATGGAGGCACGGGTCTCGGATGGGGGGCTGAGGTCTTTCCTTTTGTTATACTGA